TGAGGTAAGTGTTGGACTTTGTCCAATATATCTATATATATATATATATATATATATATTATTTATTTAAAAATATGATTCCAACACGCGATATAAGAGGTCTCATGTTTCAAAACAAGAGCCGAAAACTTCAATATAATTATTTGAATTAAATTGAGTTAAAGTAAGCTCTGTTCCATCTTCAAGCAAAATTTTTTTCGGAATAACGTATTTCTGAAATTTACGTGTTTTAATAATTGAAATCAAAATTTCCATGGTAACAGCTAGGGCGAATTGTTTAAATTGGGTAGGCGTGTGTTGAGTGTTAATAATAAGTATCAGTATAGAGTTACTTTCATAGATGTCAAGTCAGGGAAAGGTGGGTGTGTCTAAATTTGAAACGGAAGATGTATTAACCCTAGTCTGGTTTGCGTGTCTATGGAGATTTATTTATTTTTTTATTTTATTTTTTTTATGAAAGGGATTTGTGCATATTGTCTCTCGTGATTCATTGACATGATCTGTTTGGACTGGGAAATCCCATATCATGTCACTAATTTTCTATCAATTTGTTGTAGAGTGGTTTCACAGTGTAGGCTTGTATTTGTACTAAGTCGGTCCTAAAATAGGTTCGACGTACAAAACGTTAGGAACTTTATATAATAGGTAATGACGCAGAGAAATCTAGTTGTGGTGGCTGATACTTTAATATCCGACTAACGGTCGTCCGACATCGACTGACTGACCAACTCGATATTTAGTCATCCCCCCACCCCACGAGGGTATAATGTGGCACAAAGCCGGTTTAACGTGGGATCTCCGAGCCTGTGGGATCTCCGAGCCCGTGGGATCTCCGATCCCGTGGGCTCGGCCAAAAATATACCCATTGAACCCGTATAAACGGATTCAGGGTCGGTATACCTCCCCGAAAGAGAATCCGCCCTTCTGCGTAGCCTCTTTCGGGTTCCTCCCCGCCCGAAGGCAGAGAGTTCAACCGAACAGCCAGTCGACTGACTGACCAACTCCCACTGAGCGACTGCTACTACTCCTACTTATTATAGGTGGGAGAGTCTGTTAACTATAGAATAGGTGTGTATAACACAATTATTATTATTATTATTATTATTATTATTATTATTTCATATATTTATATTTTCACACTAGTTATATACTGGTTATTGCTGAGTTAATTCTTTGGCAGTTATTTGTGTTGTCATAAAAAGGACAATTTATGAGGAATCCAGGTTTTTTTTTTTTTTTTTTTCAAGGGCATCGGAAAAAAATTTGCTAGAAGCGTTTATTGTGAAACAGTAATTCATTGCCTTTCAATAAAAAATTGGTTTTGGTTATTTTTATTTTGAAATTACGCATCATTTTGTACATTTTTTTCGTCATTAAATAAATAATATTTTCCTTTGAATGATTTCCAAACTCGTGGGTGTCAAGAAAATCAGGAAAAAGTATGGAACCATACGGAACTTTATAAACGTCATGAAAAATGTATTTCCCTTTGTTGCAATACGCCATTAAATAGATATGATCACTCCTGCAAACAAATAAATTCAATTTGACCTGATTTTGTCCGTTTTGATTCATTGAAAGAATGAGATTGAATTTTAAACTAAAATATAAGACACAGTAGACTTTTGGACATGATTCTGTATTAAAAAAAACCTTCGTCTTATACATACAGAAATATAGTAATTCCCTTGACATAAATTATTTTCCCCAGGATATGAACTAAACCTATAAATGTCGATTTACCTACATTTCAAGCAAATAAAGTACCTTTTGAATTCTTGTATCTACTCATTGAGACGCACGGAAACAAATAGATAGATAGATAGATAGATAGATATGAATAGACTGAGTGACATGAACAGTGAGTGATTGATTTATTCGTTTTCTAAGTCTTATCTTATCAACCCTTTCCTAGTCATTTAACGCCAGGAAATATTTTATGTTGTAAGAATTTTGGTGGGGGTAATAATGGTTTAATGATACAAGTCTTACTAATTAACCCATAGATGGAGGGAGAAGAGATGGATTCATGCCCTTCCAAAGGGTATTTGAGCGTAAGTCAATATAACGAAACCAACGGGAGTTGGAAGTTTGCTGTCCGATTAACAATTTTTTAGTCATTATCCTTTACACAACACGCACATCCAAGCTTATGGCACTTGTTATTCCCAAGTGGTCACCCATCTAGGTACTGCGCAGGCTCCACGTTGCTTAACTTCAATAATTGTACGGGAACAGGTGTTTCAACGAGATGTGCCCGTAAACAAGACAGAATAGAACAGATATATATAGATAGATACTACTAATTATTATTATTATTATTTTATTTCCTTTGATTTTTGATGTGTACTCATTTCATTCCAGGTCCCGCCCAGGGACCTAAGGTTAGAAATGGCATCATGACATTTTCCACTGGAAAAAAACATATTTTACATAGACAACGCACTTCGTAAGGTGTGGGCTGTACTCGTGAAAACAATTTTTTGTATTTCTTTAACGCATGGGCTTCCAGGAATCCCTTCACTTCGTCTACTGGAATCTTTTCCAACCAATCCGAGAGTTCCAACTACAGCAGGGATTTTTGATGTTGCCATATGTTTGAGATTTCGATTTCAAGGTCCTTTATTTTGATAGCTTTATTATTATTATTATTATTATTATTATTATTATGGTGACTGAGTCAACGGAAATTCTATTCATGCGTCATGGTGTCAAGAAAACTCCTCAGAACTCAATTTCAGTTTTTCCTATAGGCTTTTTTTTTTATTTCTCTAGATGGTTTTTCATACGCAATTCCCATTATCACAAGAATTAGTTCTGCATTCATGTTACGTAGCTTCTTCAGTTCCTTAGCCAGATTCTGGTATTTTTCAAAATTTTCAGTTTCTTTAAAGTTCACTCTTGTCCCCTAATTTGACATTTGCTATTATAACAATAACGTCGGCTCACACGTCATTCCTTGACTCTTTGGATTGGGAAATCCCATATCTTGTGACTGTAATTTTATCATTATTATTATTATTATTATTTCATATATTTATATTTTCACACTACATATCTAATGATTATTGCTGGAGATTGGGTGAGGGCATGTTTCTCAGCATTTTCTTCAATCCGGACTAAGATCTCAGTCCTTCATCAGCTTTCTCATTCGTCTAATCTCTCCTCTTTTATTTGATACATGATTTCAAGAGCGGAAATTAATTTAGGCACGACATGAATGTTAATACTTCAGACTTTTGCTTCTCTCAAGAAAGATCTTAGCACTGTTCGAATTCTTTTCTTAATTTACGACTATAATATCCAGCTTTTATTTATTTATTTTTTTCATTAATTATTATTATTATTATTATTATTTAATTGTCTGCAACTGGAACTGAATTTCTTTTTTTTTTTTTTTTCAATTATGCATCCTCATTAGACGCTGTTTCCACTTTTGACAGATGGCGAACTAACCTGACTTATTTTCCGCCATTTACTTTGATCTTGAGCAACCATATTTAGCGTCTGCTGCTCATTAGTTAATGACCATAGTATTGTTACTCTTCCAATTCTTATGAGTTTTTCCTCTATTTCTTTCTCCATGCGCCATGTCCTCAAGAGACAATTTAGCGTGTTCTTGCACTAGATCTTTTAAGGATAATCAAAAGTTTCAAAGATTTACTATGGATTATATCAAAGAGTGGAGTCAAATTGATTACATAGCTAAGATTGTTTATTTTCACTTTGTCTATCTCTTGTGATCCGGGATGATGCGCATTAATAGTTTTGGCATGTTTCAATTTGAGCTGAAAGTTTTATAGTCCATTTTACACAGCCTAAACCATATAAAACGACTAAAAGTATACATATAACTAAAAGTATATATATAAGTAATATTTTCGTATAGCGTAGATTGGCACTCTCAATTGATTTAAGCAAAGTCTTATTTGAAAAGCAATCCACCAAAAGCTCATTAGGTATTTTAATGTAACTTCTCCGTTGTTCTTGCAAGATAGCTTCTGGTCCAAATATTTATAGACAAAATAACACACATGATCAGTTTGATCACAATATTAAAAAAAATATTCAGTACTCTGTAAGCTTTTAATATAGGTAATGTTCCCTTCTCAAATTGTATTGATACTAACAACATTGAGATGCCAGTTGAAACCATAGTAATGGCTTCTCCCTCAATATTGAAAGTGTATTCAGGAGATGGAAATTTTATATTTTCTTAATAGTAAAAAGAAATTGTTTTAACGTAAGTTATATCTATACTGTGGAAATTATCGGTTATAGACTTATTACCTAGCATAATTTAGTTACTGTTCGAAAATTACCAGAATATTATTTTCCTTAAGTCTGTTGCAGGAATCGAGATAACATCTAGTTATCCTGAATGCAATCGACAGAACAAAAAAAAATGATTTTCATAACGCCTCGACTTAAAAATTGGGCGTTTGTGCTCAGATTTTGAAATATTTCTTCTCTGCAAAAACAGACTGATTGTTTGGATAATGAACATGGCTTGCATGTGTTATTTAATAAATTGCTTAAATTTATAAATCATCTTTGCCGCCAGCTTGGACTGTCGATCGCAGAGATATCCTTTTAAAAATAAAATATGTAAGAACTATTAACAACGCCAGTTGGTTTGTTTGTTGGCTAGCTTAAATGATAGATACCCAGTGTTCGTAGCAGATTTTGAAGATTTCGATCGAATAAATCACATGGGAAATTGTTCAGTAATAAAAGTGATTTCTCTGTCTACCTCAAGAATAATAAAAACGACAGCAAAAAAAAAAGAAATGATCACGCCATATGTTTATTGATTACGACTTTAGCTGACAAGTAATCTATAACCATGAAATAAATCCAAATTATCAGAGTCAAATCCTATTTCCTTTGCTTACGGCCACATCATGTTGAAACACCGGTTCTCGTACGATCACTGAAGTTAAGCAACGTCGAGCCTGGTCGATACCTAGATATTTGGTCTCTTAGGATTACCAGGTGCTATGAAATTGGATGTGCGTGTAATTTCCCAATTCCAGTCAGGTTCGTTATATCCACTTACGCGCAATAAGTGAAGTTAAGCAACGTCGAGCCTGGTCTGTACTTAAGTGGGTGACCGCTTGGAAATACCAGGTCCTGTAAAATTAGATGTGCCGTTACTGGATAATTGCTCGGAATTGTTAATCGGAGAGTCGAGTTCCAGTTTCTATTTCGTTATATTCCCTTACGCGCAAAGAGTCTTGGGAAATGTATGAATCTATCTCTTCTCTCCCCCAGCTATGGGTTAATTAGTAAAACTTTTATCACTAAACCATTATTATTTGGAAAAAAATAATAAAAATGCGTACAAAATATTTAGATTTCGGCATTAAATAACCCATACAGGTGTTGACATGCCGCTAAACGAAAACAACCAACCAATTCTATTTCCTTTTGCATAATTTTGTTCGTTGAAATCCAAGCTAATTACCCTGTTTATATGAGGTGGTCAGGTTTAAATCTTACAAAAGAAAAAGAATATATATCAAATGGTGGATATGGTAAGTGTGGTGGGGACTTAAGCCAGCAAAAAGACAATAAACAATAATAGATATTTATCTGTGATCTCAACAAATTGTGTCGAAATTTGCCAAGAAAAAAATGACTTAACCTAACAACCATAGCTGGGGGGGGAGACTGAAGTGACGGATTCATGCCTTTTCCAAGAGTATTAGTGCGAAAATAAATACACAATGCTAGAATTTAAACTCGGCTTTCGATTTTCGCGCCAATACTCGTTACACTACGCGCACACATATTCTCCTTCTTGTATCCCTTTGGGATGTGGGTGAACGTGGCTCTGCACCATTTCCTACCCTTTAGATTTCTTAGTAAGTTTTATCTTTTCCCCATCCCTCCCAATCTTTGTTCTGCCATTAGTTTGCACAAATTCGTTAAGTAGGTTACTTGCTGTTATTTTCTGCCTTTCTTGCCGTTATTATATCCTGTGAGTGTCAAATTCCTCAAGCCCTCTTTTCTCATTGTTTCCTAGAAATTTCCACTAGATCTTTTTCGTTATAAGTATGAGCGTCCTTTTGTTTGCATTTTTCTTAAAACTTTCCCGTTACTCTCATGTTCAGTTGACGATTTTCCAAGCATCATTCTGGACAACCGTATTTCTGCTGGCTCAAGTCTCTTCTTCATCGCTGAAGAGACTGTCCGGAATTCACTGCCATATATAAGGACCGATATTTCATAACAGTTCACCACTTTTTTCTATGTTTCTAACGATTTTTTTCTGTTTCTTAATACTTTGTTAAGCCTTTTCTCAAGGCAATTTTTCGCTGTTCCAGTGTGCTTTCAAAACTCGTTGACACATTTTTCCATTCTCTGTTAAAACACTTTCCAGATTTTTAAATTTTCGTACCTGCTTGATTTTAACAACTCCAACTCGTAGTTCCCATCTCCGGCGATTCTGCAACTATATATTCTCTATTCATACAATCATGACAACCTCTCATATACACTGATGAAAAAATAAATTTACAACAGTCTGAAAGACGATGGTAATTTTGACCTTTCTTAGTACGTACTCTGATAAAATGTTCAAAGTATTCCTCTATCTAGTAACGTAGTAACAAAAACTAATGCATCGTATGTGTTTCGACTTTAGACGGTCACGTATTTTGTCATAAAGTTCAGGTTTCTGAAATCTCCAGTGCCAGCGTCATACTAAACTGTCGAACAAGTGTTATTTTTGTTTCAAACAGCCACACATCTGAAAAGGTTCGGAGTGTTGGCCACAGTGATTAAATGAACATTTCTATGCTAGTAGACCAGGTTCTGGATGGTCGCGTACTACGAACGCTACTCAACATCGACGCAACAGTTGCACTCCACGTGGAATCCACAGCAAAGATCAAATGAACATTTCTATGCCAGTAGACCAGGTTCTGGATGGTCGCGTAGTACGAACGCTCAACATCGACGCAGCAGTTGCACACCACGTGGAATCCACAGCAAAGTTCAAATGAACATTTCTATGCCGGTAGACCAGGTTCTGGATGGTCGCGAAGTACAAACGCTCAACATCGACGCAGCAGTTGCACACCACGTGGAATCCACAGCAAAGTCTTAAGTATAAAGCCGACCAATATTTGCTTATAGACTCACGTATAAACGTGATCAGTATTTACCTATAGTATCAAGGATATACATGACTAATATTTTTCTTGACACTAGTATAATAAAACGATAATTTCAACATAAACTAACACGTTAAGGGCGGGTATATAATATCAAACAATTCAGCAACTGCTGTAAAACAACAGTGAATTCGTTTCATCAGTTATTGATATAAAAAGTGTTACTTAAATCTTCAAGGCATCTGAAGAGTGGAAGTGCAAAGCAAATTTCCCGCGGAGTTGTATTGATACTTTCTGTGAGCAGTTGCCGTTTTATCTCTAATTTGTATGCGACAGTAGAAAATAAGTTTTAGGGTAGGAATTTATCATGGTCAAATTTTATGAAATTATATAATCACTTCATATTGTATAACTTAATCTTCTGGTCCAGATATGGATTAAATAGCAAAACACACTGATCTCTCTAGAATTTGAGTGGCAGCCAAACTAAAAGAAAGAAAAATCAAAATTCAAACCAATCGTTTGAAAACTTTCTGTAAAGCCTATAAAGGGACTTTCATCGCCGGAACCCTGATAAAAAAATTATAAAACTAAAACAAAAAATCTCCTAACGGAAATTTTCACTTTGACATGTAAAACAGTGGAAATTAAAAGCTAAAAATACTTGTTGTCGTAACCGTCAAGAAAGTATTACTGACTCAAAGTACAATATACAAAATCGTGTCAACATTAAAACAAAAAATGTCTAGAAATTAAATAAACGCATGTATATAAACCACTTCTATGGACGCCGATGTTCTAAGAATGGTATTAATTGCAGTTAGATCGTTCAGCCGACATACCTATTTACCTGAGCTTAGGCGCTTCACTTACTCTCATAGTAATGACAAAGCTGATATCAACGGAAACTGTTTTAAATTATAGCTTATAGCAGTATGAAAGAACTTTTTCAATTCCACTTTTATTGTAATTTTTTTCTTTTTATTAAAGTAAAATCAATTCAACCTACTTTGCATTGTATCTTACTTCAGAGACTTTAACATTATGAGTTGAATTAATACAAAAATATATTTTCTTCCTTGCACACGAATGTAAAGACTTTAATACATTTCCTTTTTTATTCCATATGTTTAGAAAATCTAAGGAATATAATGTATGCAGATAAATATTTTTTTTTATTTGTTATATGTCGATGTACCTTGATTTTTCTGTTTTTACCAACCAACTATAAATATCCGAAAGTCTCAACTCAACCAAATGTATTTATCAAACTTAGTGGACGTATGTCAAGCACACGAAAGCTAGTGACCTATTTCAGCTTATAACCCGTTTCTCAATAAAAACTTAGTAACTGTACTGATAAATCTTGTATTGAATTTTGGTCGGAATAATAACTGTAACACTTCCATTACATGTTTTGTGTAATCTATTGTTATTTTCCTCATATTTTGTTTATATATAATCACAGTAATTGTATCTAAAAACACACAAGAATCATTTATGATGCAAAGTTAAAAATAAGAGTACTGAGCAAGTATTTTTCGGTTTTTCTTTTATTGAGCTGTAGTTTTCGTTGCGTCTTCATCCATTCTTGTAAGGACAGAAATGGCGCGCATAAATGACAAATATGGGGAAAAGGTTTTGACACAAATGGAAACAAAAATCCCTTTTTCGCATTGCTCCGACCGATCCAACAGTGGAAAACTGACCTTTTCAGCTTAAACTCTAGTTTTCTTAGTTAATCCGGAAATAATCGACTGAAACAGTTCTTCAAATGTTGAACATTATTTATTCGTAGGTTTAAAAGTATAGATTTGAAACGGAAGTGGACATGGTTCTGTTTGAATATAATCGGCAATCGTTTCTATAAAACCGCAATATGTTAATTCATCTATTTTATTTTTGTATTATCTCAGACTATGAACGTGAATTCATGTCACGTGATTAGGAATTAAACAGCCAATAACTATGAGCGATTCTTTGTTGCCTTGTCGCCATTTTCAGTACGTTCATTTATTTGAACAATTTCATCCAAAAAGTAGCCAATCAAATCATAGCTATTACTACGAATGCAGTATTCTTCACAAAAATACTAACAGTAACAGTAACTCGATATAAATTTGCTTGCAAAAGATTTCATATCATTCAATAATTATTGCTGTGACCGACATTTTTAGTAACGGCATTGAAATACAGAGATTAGTTAAAAGCGGTTAATGAAAAACGAGAATTGAGGTGGGGACAGAGTTTGTAATTTAATTTTTTAAGACTTTCTGGTTATAAAGGAGTAAAGAAGAGAAACAAGAAAGGAAAAAGAAAAGTGGCATAAACGAAAAGAAATGAATGGTAAGGAAGAAGAAAGAAGGAATAAAATGAAATAAAACTAAAGGGCAAAATAAAGAAAGGAAAAACAGTATAACAAATTAGAAAGGAAAGAAAAAGAGAATGGACAGAAAAATAAATTATCGAAGAAGTATGAGAAAGAAGAATTGTGATATCGCATAAGTCAAATACAAAATGGCCTAAAAATCGAAACGGTATAATAAAGAGGTAAAGTATTGATCTTAGAAAATGATTAATTGGATTCATTATTACAGGATTGTTTTCATCGGACTTGTGCTATATCCGCAAATTGATATCTGTTTTTCCCATGATATCCATGTGATAACTGTTAATCTACTTTTCTAACAACTATCCTATGTAAAAAAAAAAAATCTATTTAAACAATGTCTCTCATCTTACATTTACTGAGAATTAAAAATGGTTTCAGGTCCTAACCAAAGCCACAAAACAACATTAGAAACAGGTTGAAGACTGAAATGAAAGGAAACTTTAAAAAAAAAATTTTTTTATTATTTTTTTTATCTACCAGTTCAAGC